CTGCGGGCCTGTACTTATTGTGACTGTATTATTTATAATGCTGTTACTTGACACACGTGCTTTGACTGCTCTATTTCCAGTTCTCTTAAGACTATTCAAAACAACTCAAGACTGACCCAAACTATGATCTTTAATTCTCTGTAATTTTCAAGTACATCCAATGTTCTTCACATAAAAAGAGCATATTCTGAATAAACAACTTCAGCTCCATTAAGTACATCACCATCATTGACCACAAAATGTATTTTGGGCAAGTTCATTCATTTAGCATTGTACCAAAAAGATCCTCTTTCCCAACAGAAACAGAGGTTTGAGAAAAAGGATTTTTTTCTTCCTCTTTCATAATTCTCCTTCAACATGACACCAAGGTTGAGGAAAAACACGTGAGAGAGCATACAATAATTATGTTGTGCTTGTGAGCAGCAACCTTCATTGCCATTAGAACACAGAGCAATCCCCTAAATAGTGATGTTTAGTGTACAAGATCCCAGCCCATAATTAGTCCAGGATTTAGGAATAACATTAGTGGCAGTTAAATGACGAGACTGATCATTGACAAGTTTAACCTGTTTTCTGACGCTCATGAAAGGGTATGTGAAGTTCCTCTCTTGGTTTGCTTCACTTCCTGCTCACCCATGGACATGGAGTAGTGCAACAGCAGTTGTGACTGGAACAGAAAGTATTCTTTCCTGAAAGACAAACATAAGCTGATCACTGACCAGTTTTCTAACATACAGTCTTCTGCATTTTGGTTCTCTTCATTTCAGTTCATGAGGAATACGCATCCATCTGAATATCCTCTTCTTGCCACTTAAAGCATGCACAATAATTAACTATGCACAAAAATACTTCTTTGTTAAATCTCTCTTTAAAGTTACAGGGTTTATTTACGAAATGCACCCATTTCACTTTCAAATATGTCTAGGTCCAGATGAACTGATAATTAATGAGAAAACATCATCAATAAACAACATTACTACTAAATCAAATGTGTAACTGACCCATACATCAGCACCATCCAACTCTACCAGAAACTCCTTCCAGTTTACAACCTACCTGTAATTTAAATGGCAGAGATTACTCCCCAGAGCTTTTGATATCCACAGCTCAGATACTGTCTCACGTACACTTGCCAAGTGAACTGGACCTGCATGTTTTGCTTCATTCCCTAGGGAATAATAGCCCAACCCTCAAGCTGCATCAAATTTCACTTGATTCCAAGATTCAAAAGAGCTTTTTACGGCTCTGCTGTTCCCTCAACTTTTCTGTATTGGTTTAAACAACTTTCCCTTAAATACCTTTCGAGGTTACACCGGTGTTGGCAAAGTTACATACTTACAAAAAAGTGACATAATGCACTTGTTTAAAGGTATTAATGTACAAATGCTTCATAGGAGACCTAACAACCTGCTATCCAAAGCTAACTCATCAGCAAATGCTTGTTCTGGGGAGATGCCAACCACATTGTTAGGAAGGCTCTCACTTTTCCAAAGGAAACTAGGTTCCTGTGAGAATGCAGAAGAGGGGACTTAGCAGGCTCTCCATAACATTGTTCCAGAGACTTCGTGTGAGCAAAGAGGGAAAAGACACAGCATTCAGTCAATTCTAATGAATCCATGTCAGAATAGCAAAGAACTATCCTGAAAAAGGGCTGAGATCCCCAAGCTGAAGTAAACCGAATTATAATGGAATGGTTTGGGTTGGAAGGGACCTTAAAGCTCATCCAGCTCCAACCCCTGCCACAGGCAGGGACACCTTCCACTAGAGCAGCTTGCTCCAAGCCCCTGTGTCCAACCTGGCCTTGAACACTGCCAGGGATGGGGCAGCCACAGCTTCTCTGGGCACCCTGTGCCAGCGCCTCAGCACCCTCACAGGGAAGAGCTTCTGCCTAACAACCCATGGATAAAGGCTACTCAAGCTGTACTCACTGCTTGCAGCAACTACAGCCTTACACAGAGTTTCACAGCATGGACAATGAGCTCGAAGCAGCTTCCCAGTTCCACCCCCATGAGGTGAGAAGCCACCATTCCCTTCCCGGACAGGGCAGCACAGTCCCAAAACAGCTCAGAAACTGAGCCAGAGGTGTGGTTAAGCCAGCTCTCTTATCAAATTAAGCATTAATTAGGCACTTCAATACTGAGCACCTCGCTAAGTCCTTTTAAACAACCTAAATGGTAACAGGGACCGCACAAAGCACCTGAAGGTGCGGGAGTTGGTTCTCTATGGTGTGACTCCGCCCAGGCCGCGGTCCATGGCAGGGCAGGAGCTCCCCGCTCCCTCAGCGGTCACTGGAAGCCGCGGTCCATGGCAGGGCAGGAGCTCCCCGCTCCCTCAGCGGTCACTGGAAGCCGCGGTCCATGGCAGGGCAGGAGCTCCCCGCTCCCTCAGCGGTCACTGGAAGCCGCCGCTCCCCGACCCCCTCCCGCTCCCCTCAGCCGAGCGCCGCGCGTGCTTTCCCGCCCTTCACCTCACAGGCTCCTCCCGCCGCTCCGGTACCGGCGGCGAGCGCTCATGCCCCCTGCCGGGCCGCGGGGGAACCACCTGCAGCTGCTGCCGGAGCCATCGCCGCCGCGTCTTCCTCGCCCAGCCCGGCTCCACATCGACCGGAGGAGGGAGCAGGGGCAGCCGGGGGGCACCGCCTCTCCGCCCGCCCTCACCTGCTGCCAGCCCCGCAGAGCGGGCAGCCACCGCGGCCGCCGCTCCCCTCCCGTGTCACGTAGGGTCCATCCGGGTCCTGCGCGGGCGGGGCCGCCGAGGCGGGAACGGGCACCGGCGGGAGGCCCGCCCGCCCCTCACACCGCTGCAGCGCGTTTGTGTGTGGTTTAGTTTGTTTTAACCGGTTTTAATCGTTTCTGCGCTTTTTGTGAGGGGAAGCACCCCTCAACTCATCAATTCGTCGCCCTTTAGACGATGAACCGCCTGCGCCGGCTTCGCGCTCGATGTACAACGGGGAGGCGGCCCTCATGGGGCAGGCGGCCGCTCCCTGTCGCCTCAGCGGAGTTATGGCGGGCTTTGCCACAGCCGCCTTCCAGAGCGCTCCATGGGCTTCGCCAGAGCCTGCCAAGCGGGTCTGCTGCCTTTTAGGGTATTCCATGGGCTTTGCCAGCGCCCACCAGTGCTCCTGCTGCCTTCCAGAACATTCCACACGCTTTGCCGGAGCTCTCGGGGGCTCATGCTGCCTCCTGCTGCCATTTGCATTTGAACTCGGCACCATTTTGGGGGCTTCATTTATTTTTCCGTCAAGACAGTCACAGATGCTGGTAAACGAAGAGACTGCCACGCTCGTTTTTCTTCTTCCCCAACAACGCAGAGCACAGAGAGGACCAAAGGACCCCGTTGGCCATCAGCAGATTCTGTTGGTGCTGTTTGCTGTGTGCAGCATGGTGGCCTCTACAGTGCTCCCAATGAATTCATTACACCCAAGGGGCCCTCCTCACCACAGCAGCTCCTGTGTCCAGCACCCATTTGAGGACCTCGCACCATGGGGAACTGAACCCCTTGCCTGATGAGGTACGCAACTGCTGCTTTATTTCTAACAAACCCTAAAGATGCTGGGTACCTGTGCATTTTCTTCTTTTAGTGTTTTAATTTTCAGTGATGGGCTGCCCATGCAGCTTTAGGGGTGCTACTTAGGAATTAAGACATTCAATAATCATTCAATCAAGTCGGTTGGAAAAGACCTTTAAGATAATCAAGTCCAACCGTTCCATTAACCCATGTCGGTAAGGGCCTTGTCTGCATGGTTTTGAACGCTGGGATGGTGATTCCACCCCTGCTCTGGGCAGCCTGCTCCAGTTCTTTCACCCTTTTGGTGAAAGAACTGCCACCAGCTATTCGAGACCTGTGCAATTTGGATGCCCAAAACCTTAGATTTGAGAGATACTTGTGGTTTATCCTCCTCCAGGTCTATGCACTTAGTGCCCACAGGGTGGACTGAGTTGTCTGGTTATTCACACTGATGTTTACAGCTCCCTGTTTGCCCACAGCAGGTAGTGAAGGTCTCGCCAGGGTTCGCTGCTGAGTTTCTGAGGCTCCTGAGCTTATACAGGATTGAAGTTTAGATTGGATATAAGGAAGAAGTTCTTTCCTGTGAGGGTAGTGAGGCACTGGAATAGATTGCCCAGGGAAGTTGTGAATGCTCCATCCCCGGCGCTGTTCAAGATTAGGTTGGACATGGTTTAGTGTGAGGTGTCCCTGCCCGTGGTGGGGGGGTTGGAACCAGATGATCTTAAGGTCCTTCCCAACCCTAACTATTCTATTGGATCCCAGCCTATTCTTCCTCCATAAATTAGACAGCTGGACCTTTGTCTCTCCTGTTTCAATTAATCTGTTTCTTCAGAAGTTTCTGTGAATTACTTAAATGTGCTCCCTGGACCTTGGGGATGACAGGTCCTCCACAAAGCCACTTCATCCTGCAGCAGAGCTCTGTCCCCTGGTCCCACCAGACGCCTTTCCTCCCTCCCACATCCCCATGGCTGTGCCTTGGTTTTTGTTTGGCCTGGTGCTGGGTACCTTGTTTGGTGTCCTTCCCATGACTGGGTTTTCAGGATGTGGATAGGTATGAGCATCTTGTCTACAGCAGGAGGGGCCATCACACATCACCCACTCTGCCATGGGGCATTGCGGTTAAAATGTTCCCCATGTAGTCTAACTTTCAGAACCTGTGTGGCATTTTTGGGTGTGTTTTGGCTTTTGTATGAAATAATGAAGCAGCTTTTTCCTCCTTGCTGCGTGTGCTGGTGAACGTGGTTATGGCATTGTCTCGTGGTTGGAATTAATGCCTCCATTTTGTGCTATTCTGGGTTTAAAACACCCCTTCTCACTGGGAATATTCTGGGGAGGAAACCCCCAAACCCAGACCTGCTTGTGACCGTTCCCCGCCTACCGCCGGCTGAGCCTTCACAAACTCGATGCATGCAAGGCGGGGGGCGTGGCCATGGGCGTGATGTCCGCCTCGGAGGCGTGGCCTAGGGTATAGGGGGCGTGGTTTCAGGGCGGGCAGGCGGTGCATTGTGCGCGGCGGTGGGGCCGGGCCGGGGCCATGGAGCGCTGGACCGGGCGCGTCGCGCTGGTCACCGGTGCCTCCGTGGGTATCGGCGCGGCTGTGGCGCGGGCGCTGGTGCAGCACGGCATGAAGGTGGTGGGGTGCGCTCGCAGCGTCGACAAGATCGAGGTACCGAGGGCGGGGGCTTGGGGGCATCTTTCTGTGGCGGCCGCCCCTACGGGCGGGCCTCGGAACGAGCGGCCACCTCTCTGCGGCGCCTGACCGGGGCGGGAGGGCTACCGGCCGCAGGGCCGGGGCAGCGGGCTGTGTGAGGCGGGGGCTCGCCGGGGCGGGGGCCGCCCCTGGCTCGCTCCGGTCCGGGCGGCTGCACGGTGGGGGCCGGCTGTGGAGAGTACCCGGCAGGAGGGGGCTGATCCCGCAGTGTTCCCGCCCCGGTTCCCGGAGCCCGCCTCGGGGAAGAAGCCGGGTGCAGCCGGCGCGGGGGCTGCCCTGGCTAGGCGGGGTTCCCGGTGGGGTTTTTCCCCTCTGGAGGAGCAGAGACGGTTGGCTGGAAGTTACCGAGGAGCAGGCTCAGTTCTGGGGCTTTTTTGTTGAGGTGCCTCTTAGCGAGGGTATAAATAGCATCTGCGTGACCCGGCGGAGCGCTATGAGGAGTTGGTCTGGGCTGAGAAGTGTCCACGGGCACGTTAAACCCTGCTTGGTGTGTGGGGTGCAAGGCACTTCTGCACCACCGCTGGCCTTCGGGAGACTGGAGCCTCTTAAAAACATACAGCAAGCTTTTGGGACAACGTGAAAATAGAGGTTCAGTCCCTAATGTGATTTTACCCCTGTGATATGAGCATCTCTACAACTAAGTCAAAAACCTCCTGCCGCTGGCTTAGAAGTAAAGGTGCTTAAATGAAATCGTTTCTGTGGGATCTCTTCTAGTCGGATGCACTTGCAGGTTTCACCGTGCAGTGGCATAAGCGAAAGCTTATTTACTTCTCAAGAAGTTTCCTGGGAGGGAAGAAAAAAGTTTAGTCAGCATAAATATTGTCATCTTGGTTGGTGCTTGTCAAGCTGAAGGAGATGTATGTGAGCATCCAGTGTCTGTATTTCCTTAGCAAAGGATTTGCTGTGCACAGTTGACCACACCAAGATAAAGTTGTGTCCCCAAAAATTATGGAAACCAAGGCTTGATAATGCTGCTGGTGCTGCTGGGAAGTGGGGTTAAATAAAGAAACACTTGGAAGAAACAAAACTTTTCCCGTTCTACATCATGAATCAGAAAGATGCCACTTGCAGAGATAATAAGCCACACTGGTGCATGTTTAACTGTTCTTTGGGGCTTGCTTCTAATTTTTGGGCTTCCCAGTGTTCTGATACTGTGGTTTCAGGAAAAGCTGAGCTCTCCAAAGGCTTTCCCATGTGTGACTGATGGTGTTTAATGCACTTCCACAGCCTGGCTTCAGGAGGCTGGTAAAGGATGCTGTAAAGGATGCTGTTTGCCATTCTCCTCCAAAACTGACAGAAAAGCCATTTCCAATACTGTCGTTTCCACTATTGGACTTTGAAATCTTTTGATTTTTCTTTGGTAAAGAACATCAATGAAACTTGTATTTTCCTTCAGTGCTTCAGAGGACTTTCCTTCCTTTTTGAAGCCCGGAAGCCTACCTTTCTGAAAGTTTTCAGGCAGAAACACGGTATATATCTAAGAATACTCTTTTACAGGCTTTGCCTTTTTATTTGAACCTGCTCAAAATGCAGTCATGTTTGATACAGGTGATTTATCTGGCTTGCATGGTGTGCACACATACTGGGCAATGCTGACTGTTGGGCATCTTCCAAGCCTCTTGTTACTGTTGTGTTCTAACCTCTTGTGCTTAACACTGCATCTGATGTTTGTCCCTGCCTCATTTTTTCTCTTGTCCTCTCCAAGGACTGAATTGTGTTCACAGCACACTGTCATTTGTTTTGGTAGGTGTCTGGACTCTGTTTTGCTCCGTTGCTATTCTGGTTTTATTTATTGTGAAGCATGTTTCCTTAAAGAGGAAGAAAGTCCCAGAGGTGCTGCTCATGTGGGGAAGGGGCAGAGCCAGGTCACGCTGGGAACAGGTCCATCGCTGACTGGCTGCCAGGGATGCTTGTGTCAGCGTATATGAAGCTTCTTACCCACTCCTGCCATGCCTTTGGAGTGGAGTTGTTTGTAACAAATCTTTCCTCTGGGAGCTTTGCCTTGTGGGTTTTTTCTTTAAAAAGAAATTTAGGCATCAGACTGTTGAGCTCACTGACCTGGAGCTTGACTTTGGACATGGCTATAAGAGTATCTGGAGGAGCAGGAGTTGGTGTTGTGTGTGTGGATGACTGGTGGGTGATGCAGTCAGACCATGTCTTGGGAGCTGTCAGAGAAGCTTCAGATGCACTGAGCATAGAAGGGAACAGGAAGGTCCGTGCTATCAGTGCTCTGTGAGCATGTCCTGACCTGGATTGCTGTGTAGTCAGATCTGTCCACAAAATACACGTATCTATTATCTCTGGCACCTGAATTTTCAAGTCATTGTTGGTTGGGAGCTGGGGTACAGCATCCCCGTGGAAAGCTTTGTTGGGAACTCAAGGTATCAGAGAGAGCAGCTTGCGCGTAAGGGTATGATGGGGAGGTGGTGCTGATGTCCAGTGATGGAGGGGCTAGAGAAGAGAAATATGAAGGAGCTATGGGTTTGGTGTTGCCAGATGTGAGTAAAGGGGGGGTTAGAGCATCATGGCTGCAGTTGCTGCAGGATAAGTTTTGTCACTGTATTAAAATTCACTAATATGATAAATACCGTTGTAAATAATGGTGTACAGAGGAGCAAACCCTCCAGGTAAATCAAGGCAGCTTGAAATGGGAGGAGTTCAAATGGTACAGTTTAAAACCAGGAACACAGAGCTTGTTTCGTAGCCCAAAATCTTATGTTTTCATTAATGTTAGACAGTAGTCATCCATTTGAAGGTAAAGTGTCTGGAACCATTCTGTGTGGTGGTTTTATCACCTCCTGTAAACTGGTGATGTTTTGTAGGGAGTTTAACTTGGGCAATAAATGCTCTGTCAAGATTTCTTAATCTCTTGGAAAATCAGATAAGGGCTTGAGGCAAGATACTGAAGAAACTGCAGAATTGTGGGTTTGGTGTTAGAGCTGGTCACGACTCCAATGCTCCTTATTTGACTTTGAAATAAAAATGTTAATGGCTTACAAAAACTGCAGAAATCCCTCTTTTTTTTTTTTATGCTGCTATTGTGAGTGGGGACTGTTTGTGTGGGTCATCCCACAGTAACTGTAATAGTCAGACATCGAGGGATAAAATATAATTCAAGTGGCTTTATTATACTTTTGAATGCCAGGAAATAGTTAAGGTTGAAAGGTTGTTTTCAATGAGAATCCTTGAGGTGCTAACAGATGATTTGGCGTGTTCTCTTGCTCAGTGTTTTCTGCTCTTCAGATACTTACACATGTTTCAAGTCAGGAGCAAGTGTTAGTGCTTAAATGAGTTAGCCAAGAGTTTCTAGCAGCCTGTAAGACCAAGCTTTGGTGGAAGCTGCTCCGTATTAGATGATCACCTTCACAGGGATACTGTTGTTGGTCACTGGGTTCTCCAGTGTGTGGGAAGACTTGCTGGGATTTAATGACTTGACACAACTCATCTGGTACGCAACAGCACGTTAAGTCACAGTTCATCCTGTAAGAGTTTCATGAATCCCAGACTGATTTGGCTTGGAAGAGACCTTAAAGCAGGCCAAATAACAAAGCACTCCTGGGAGCATCCCCTAAAGCAGCAGTACCTGGCTGTGCTGCCAGAGGGGCAGGATGCTGCTGGGGGAGTGATCTCCAGAGGCTGTCAGTGAGCAAGGTGAGATTGGGGCCCTTGGGCAATGGCCTGTGTCAAGGTGTTGGAGAGATTTAATCATGGATGTCATGTTGTAAGAAAAATACTTCTCTTTTCCTTTGTTGGTGTGTGGAGAATGAGCTGTGCAGGAGGCAATAAATGTGGTTTAAAATACAAGGTTTAACAATTAATTCTAATGCATTTGTGACAGTTATTGATCAAAGGTAACATTCATAACCAGGGATTGCATTGTCAAGGTTATCTCTTGCTCAGGAAATAGCCTTTGATAAGCTGAGCTATCGATTGCAGATTCAAGCAGTCCAATCTCTGAAGAGGTTAGTGTTCTCTCTGAGTGGCACCATGGCAGTGTGGGAGAAGGAGGACATAGCTGAGCCTTCCTCCTGGGAACTGAGCATCCCAGGTAACTCTTTGTAGGCTAGATGATTGCTTCCACCAGTCACTGGCTGGGCTGTAAGGCAACTCTTGATCCCTTTGGTGCACCAAGGTGTTTAATTGTCATAGAACCATAGGATGGTTTGGGTTGAAGGGACCTTAAAGTTCATCCAGCTCCAACCCCCCTGCCACAGGCAGGGACACCTTCCACTAGAACAGGTTGCTCCAAGCCCCTGTGTCCAACCTGGCCTTGAACACTGCCAGGGATGGGGCAGGCACAGCTTCTCTGGGCACCCTGTGCCAGTGTTTAACATCTTGGCCTCCTCCTGCAGCTGTCACATCTGTTGAGTTGAACCATGGATGTCGCTGCAGTGGGGTCTGTCCCTCTGCCTTACAGCTGGGTTTCATAACGCATTTCCCAAACCACAGGTTTCACCTCTGAGCCTGTGTTGTCTTAATCTTGTGACTTAAAGCAACGTGCTCGTGGCTGAATGTGAGGGATGAATTTTGGTGCCTGGCTCTCACCACTGGGCAGCCTGGCTGAGGCTTTCTTCCCATCTCCTCTTCCCCTGGCCCTGGTGTTGCTTTCACAGCCTGCATGCTGCAGAGCTGCTCAGTAGCTCGATGAGCTATTTTTTAAGGCAGGAGCAGCTTCAGGCAGGATAATCCCACAGCACTGTCAGGTGTAAATAAATGACCTTCGGAATCTCCTTGGCCTCTGGAAGGTCTTGTTTTGTTTGGTGAAGGCCGAGGGTGGGTGCCCAGGGCCTGTGAGGTGCTTTTATTGCCACTTTGTCCCTGACCTTTCTTGATAAATGCAAAAGAGATCTCTGTAATTGCTGTCCTGAGTAATGGGAACAAATGCTTTGCTCTCTGATGGTTTTTCTCAGCCTTGAAGCTCAGGAGGTGCTTGGGAGAAGGGTTGCTTTTAAACC